GTCACCAACTAAGACTTTTGTTAGTTGAGCCACAAGTTACTTCTCATCTTTGAGGTAAGTTTATCAAACCCGTTTTTGAACTGGAGCACTGTTAGAATTGTTTGAATTATGTGAAAGACATGTACATGAGATGACGAGTGTGTACCTGGCTTATATGTGGCAAAATTGACCTGTTTAGACTCTTAGATTAGTTTATGCATTTAATTAGAAGTTGTTATTACTTGTTACATCTATCGTTGTTGAATTCATTCTTATATTCTTAGATTGTAGTCATTATTTCATGCTCTAGTTTCCATTGTCGAGTTTACTCTTATGTGGCTTAATTGAAGTTACTGTTACATGGTGTATATTTCATTGTCAAGTTTATTATGCTTTAACCGAAGTTGTTAGTACATATTCTATCCCTTGTTGAGTTACTCTTATAGACAGGTTGAGTTGTGTTGAGAATGGGGATGATTGGTAAATTATATCTCTATATATAGGAGAGGAATTGGGCTTTATGGTCAAAAGATGTTACAAACTTTACTAAAGCATAATCTGATTTACTCACTATAATCTGATTTACTCCATAAAAGATCTGATTTACTAACTATTTTAATGCAAATGTCAAAGTTCTATTTTTGTGGGATTGTGGTCCTCATCCATATATAATATTTGTTATTTTTGTTTAAAAAAAATATTGAATTCCCGTAAATATATAGGTGACGACTTGAACCTTCACGCTATTTGGCACGAGATTTTGAGTCTCGCGTGTCTACCTTTTCACCACCAAGATATCTTGTAATTGAACCGTATTTCATGAATATGATATCTATCTAGCGTGATGTATGAAATATATGACAAAGGTGGATCTATTTATCAGTCATGTCATATAGGTCCGAAATGGACTCCAATTGCTTCGATTAGAATTATCTAGAGAATAAATACCTGATATATAAAAAAGATGGACAATTACGTCTAGATCGATCCCTAACGCTAGAACTATAGGAGAAGATAACCCAATTAAAAAAAATTAAATAAAATCTGGAGACATGTCACGGAAATAAAGAATTTGATATGAAAATTCTTTATTTCACAGGCTCCTTTTGTAACACGGTATGTCAACTTTGCAAAAGTAGTTCTTAGATACTTAGGGAACCACATTTGGTGTGTAAACGGTTCTCCGTCAAGGATGATTGTGTAAATAAGGATTTGTGTAATGACCCGATCGGTCATATTGAGAATTTATATTATGTTTGATAGTTTAAGGTCATGAGTAGCTTTATGTGATGTATTATGACTTGTGTGTAATGTTGATTTTGGTTTTCTAGTGGTTCAGGATTGATTTGGAAGAATTATTCTCAATTTGGAAGCTTTAAGTTGAAAGGGTTGACCAATTTTAACTTTTGTGAATTTGATCTCGGATCGGAGTTGTTATAGTTCCGTTAGACCCGGATGGTGATTTTTGACTTGGATATATGCCTTCGCACTTAGATATTCCTAGAGGGTTTTGGCAATATTTGGCGAAAGTTAGAAATTTGTAGGTTTGAAAAGTTCATAGGTATGACCGGGAGTTGACTTTGGAGTTATCGGGCAAAATTTGAGGTGATTCCGAGTTGTTTAGAGATATTCTGTAACACCCCAAAGTTTTTAGACTAATATTTGCAATCTCAATTGACCATCTATATAACTAGCTGGGATAGATTTTACTTCGCACTTCCTAAACGTCAATTTGACAATATAGGAAAACTGCTTACTCTACATTGTTAATATGTACAAAGAAGTTTCATGGTGTTGCTATGTTTAATACTTAATATCATTTTGATAAATTGTTGTGAAATACATTAGATATTTAATGTTTTGGGCAGCCACCCTTTTGTATTTATCCAAAGAAGAAAAAGTTTGGATTGCCACCTTTTGTTCATCCTTATCCAAGGTGATATATATCACCCTTGTGAAGATATCCTTAACCACCTCCTCTAATTTTGTCTTCTCTAGCAAAAGAAAACCTCAAAAACTCTTCTTCTCTCATAAAATTCTCCCACCAAGTCGCCAACAAGACTTTTGTTAGTTGAGCCACAAGTTACTTCTCACCTTAGAGGTAAGTTTATCAAACCCGTTTTTGAACTGGAACACTGTTAGAATTGTTTGAATTATGCTAAAGACGTGTACATGAGATGACATGTGGTTACCTGGCTTATATATGGCAAAATTGACTTGTTTAGACTCTTAGGTTACTTTATGCATTTAATTAGAAGTTGTTATTACTTGTTACATCTTTCGTTGTTGAATTCATTCTTATATTCATAGCTGTAGTCATTATTTCATGCTCTAGTTTCCATTTTATTATGCTTTAACCGACGTTGCTAGTACATATTATATCCCTTGTTGTTGAGTTACTCTTATATGTATTCAATTGAAGTTGTTAGTATACGACATGTCTT